GTGTATGTATGTATGTATGTATGTGCGTGTGTGTATGTATGTGCGGATACAAATTTTCGTCGACGATTTCGGAAACACGGATCAACCGATTTGAATAATTCAAAAAACATTCGATTCGTATTGATAAGGAGACGTGCTGATTAGTTTTTGGCGAAGGCAGGTCTAGCCGTTCCGAAGATACGGGGCAAAAAGTGCCGAAAACGGTAACTCAGTTTTTAAGAGAACGGAGCGTCCGATTTGAATAATTCAAAAAACATTTCACTTGTATTGACAAGTTTTCATTGACAACAATTTTCATGAAGGTAGGTCTAGCGGTTTCGGAGATATGGAGCAAAAAGTAAAAAAAATGAGCCATTTGGCGGTCAAAAATGATCATTAGACATATGCACATCAAATTATCAGATATTTTGTAGAGATTTTAACAATAAGTATACATTTTGTTAACATTTCTATGGGTTCCGTACCAATGCTTATGCGTTAGACAGCGACGCGGCGCTTACGCGCTTTATATTTTGTCCCTATGCAGTTAAAGCAGTACGATTGCTTTGAAAAAAAGTTCAGATCTTCTACAATATGTCAAAATAAAGAAAAAAAAATTTTTTTCAAAAAAAAAAAATTAAAAAAAAAATGTTTTTTAAAAAAAATTTTTTTTTTCAAAAAAAAGTTATTTTTGTCCAATTTATAGTTTCTCAAAAATCTTATTCTTTCAAAGTAATTTTTTTTCAAAAATGTTAATTGTTTTTAAAAAAAAAATAATTTTTTGTACGGGAAGTTCCAGCAATTTGCCTTAAGGCACGATGCCTTAATTGCCTTAAGACAGAATTCCACTTACAGCTAGTTTTATTTTATTTTTTACCAGATATACAAGTATTTAATTAAACATGCTTATATTTGAATGTAGATCAATCGAATTAGATTCAATAGTGATTCTTTTTATTTTCATCTTCATGCTTATTGCAGTTAGATTTTATAAGTTTATTTAAATAAATTGAAAAGGTTTTATATAAACATGTACAAAGATTTAATTCCCAGTTCCATTACTTATTTTTCTCTTTCATGAATTGAATTTGTGTGCATTTGTTATAAACAATTATTGTTATGTACAAAAGAATTTAGTAAATTTTGACACAATTTGAATGATAAAATAATTTTATTTTAATTAACATAATTATCACATAACATCTAAGAAGGTGCTATCGCAGGATAGCGATCCTTCTATGGAGGTGTAGTAGTCCTCCATATTAATACCAATATTATCCAAATTGTAGTAATAATAAATTCCATAAAATATTATTTATATTTGGTTTATTTTATGTATGATTAATATCCACGACACTATGTGTTGTCATATTTATCGTTAATAAAATGTGATTGGTATTTTCTTATTTATAATAGAAAAAGAAAGGTTTTGAAAATTATACATTTGGCAAGTTCGACTAGGGAGAAACAAAAACCGTGTCCGATCTGACACTTGAATTTACTTTTGTTTTTCTCAGTGCTGTCACTATATGGGCCAATCTGTCCAGAGACATGTGATGCGTGTTGACAAGCGCTATGCGTGTTGGCAACCCGCTACATCACTCCGCCCTAATGAAAAAGATTGTTTCGCATCTCTGACTGCCATTCTTGAACTTCCTTGTAAATTTCTTTTGGTTGAGATTGTGTGATAAATTGCCGTGTTGGCTTGTTGAGTTGTTGATTGCTTACGTGGCCCTTCGCTGGTGAGTTAGCGGTTGAGTAGATGTGGCCCTTCGCTGGTGAGTTAGCGGCTGAGTATATTTGACACTTCGCTGGTGAGTTAGCGGTTGAGTGTATGTGGCCCTTCGCTGGTGAGTTAGCGGTTGAGTGTATGTGGCCTTCGTTGGTGAGTTAGCGGTTGATTGTATGTGGCCCTTCGCTGGTGAGTTAGCGGTTGATTGTATGTGGCCCTTCGCTGGTGAGTTAGCGGTTGAGTGTATGTGGCGGTTGCCAAATTGTTTGCTCCCTGTCTGCTGCCATGGTGCTTATTATCGACTTATTTACCATGATAATAAGTGATTTATTGAGCACGTGTTGTTGTTGATCTTGAAGTGCGTGGTCGGAGTCTCAGTTGTATGCTTAGAATGCTCTTCGAATTATGGAAGTTGTGAGCCATTTATAATAATTATTTATATTTTTAAAAATTCTTTTCTTAATAATTCTTTAGACTTCAATTTATTTTTTTTATCTTCAAAATATGTCTTGATCTTCTTACCTTCTTGTATGTGTGTTGCTAGTTCACTCTCGGGGTCACCAAAATATGGAGGTGTAGTAGTCCTCCATATTAATACCAATATTATCCAAATTGTAGTAATAATAAATTCCATAAAATATTATTTATATTTGGTTTATTTTATGTATGATTAATATCCACGACACTATGTGTTGTCATATTTATCGTTAATAAAATGTGATTGGTATTTTCTTATTTATAATAGAAAAAGAAAGGTTTTGAAAATTATACATTTTGGCAAGTTCGACTAGGGAGAAACAAAAACCGTGTCCGATCTGACACTTGAATTTACTTTTGTTTTTCTCAGTGCTGTCACTATATGGGCCAATCTGTCCAGAGACATGTGATGCGTGTTGACAAGCCGCTATGCGTGTTGGCAACCCGCTACACTTCTCACGCAGTCAAATAATATATATATGTATATATATATATATATATATATATATATATATATATATATATATATATCTGTAATAATATTTAGCCAAAAAAAATAAACAAAAAAAAATTAACATAATTAAAAAAATGTATTTAGCCGAAATTTATCTTGTATATTTTTTATTTTTGTCTTTGTATAATATTTAATTTTATACCAAAATTTATTTGGATTTGAAATTTCAGAATATTTAACCGTTTGCATTCGCGATTTGCAGAATCAATATATATTTTGCATTCGAGTGGAAAGGATAATATTAATAACATCAATATATTTATTATAATATTGATAATATTAATATATTAAGTGGTAAGGGTAATATTGTAATCATCAATAACACATCAGGAAAATTATTTTAAAAACGTTGCAAACTTTAGACGATATTTTCACAAAAATATTTGTAAATTATAGTAAATATTTAGAGCCCTTCATTTTATCCCAAGCACCTTTTTTAATTATTGTATGTTGCTAATATGATTACTATATAAATATTCTTAATCTAGTTTATATTTGAATGTAAACCAAGCGGATTATGTGGAATGTGATGAACGAAGAAACGCCGTCCGTATCTCACGCTAAAATTGATTCGGTTAGAGGCAAAAGCGCCAGAGCGAATCTGCGAATGCTGAAAATGAATCACATTTTATTATATAGAACAGATTCTCCCTCATCGAGGCTTCTTGCTTGACGTACGGATACCCTCTAGGCAAGTCGGAAAATTTATTTACCGAAGAGGACGTAATTTAGGAGAATTTTTTTGCTTGGTTTTTCTTTCGTATTAAACCTTCACGGTACCTTCGATTCTGGCATTTAGGTGATTAATAACGGTCGATATTGATGTAACTAGGAGTAAATTCGTTTCGTGGATCTATATACGTTTTCACGGTTTTTATTCCAAAACCAAAATGTTAAATTAAAATTAAAACTATGCCTAATTAAATTCAACATATAATCGCAATAATTAAACTTTAAGTATGATAGGATAAAGAAACATTTATATAAATTCAGCAAAATTGTTGCTACAGATTTTTTTATTAAATATTTAACCGATAAAAACTACAATAAAATAGTATTTCATTTATCCCGCGTTCATACACGGACTATTTTCGCACAAAGAACCCCGTGGAAAATATTCAGTATGCAAGCCTATGTGTTTTATTTTTTTAATAAAAATCTCTCATGATCCTCTCGCGTACGAGTCTAGCCATTTTCAAATCTATTTTCCATATGTTGTACGACGATATTTATATGGGAAATCGTATGAATAATAAAATATCTGGGACCTTTTCATATAAAAGGGGCTGAAACCGCATGTTCGACGCAATATGCAAAACTAAAACTTCAACAATCGATTCAAGTGTCTACACACAATACAGTCGTTGAAGGAAATATCTTTTAACAACTTATTGTACAGAATATCTGTTGGAAAGTTTGATGGCACGTAGCGGGTGTATGCTATTGAAAACTTCCTTGCAATGCGCGTCGTGAATTTTTCATATGTCCTGTTCTATGCAAGATAAACCGCACCGGGTCATTTTATCACGTTTTATTGGGATTAGTAGAGAGGAAGCTTGGGTACGATTGATCAGAATGTATTATTTTTATATTTATAAATATGAACATAGGCATAAAATCATCATCATATATAACATATTCGACGTATTTTCTTCGATGGGTGATAGACAACGAATGTTGTATTGAAAAAAGCATAATCACATTTCATATTCAAATTTTGTATTAATCTTTAGGTTAAATTATATAAAATCAGTTGCACAGAGCAATATAATAAAAATGGAAGGCAAGTGTTTTGTTGTTTTCAAATTATATATAAATATTCTATATAATTCAATCTTAAAAATAAATATCTCATATTCCGATATAATATTTTATGTATACTTAATTACCATTAATATATTATTTATACAAATTTTAAATAAATAATTAATTTACGTTCTATGTATGTAACTTGAATAATTACTAAAAATTCATTTTAATAATAAAATTTAACATGTTAGTATTCTAGTTCAGTTATGGTACAATATACATATATACAGTCGATTAGAATTGCACAAACTATGGCCAGATGTATATAAATAAATCGAAATCTGAGTAATTATATGAGTATTATCTACAAATATCAATATTAATTGATTTCATTAATTGTAATTAATCATGCATTGCAATTTCCAATCATTTTTTTTACACAAATAGATAAAATTCATAAATATTGTTTTTGAAAAATAAATAAATAAATAATATAGTCATACTTTTAAGAACCTTGATGGACATTTTAATTAGTAAATAATATTCTTTTTAAAATTCCCAAGTATCCATCCATCGTAAGTGTCGCATCGTAGAATTTGGTTCTGAAGCTGGTGGGCCGTCCATACCATACGACAGAGGCGAAAAAGCTAAAAATGAGGCAGTCAAGCCCGAAATTATTATACCTAGTATAGCTTGTTTGGTTAACTCCCCAAATTTTTTCTCCACTGAGTCCAAAAAACGCGATAGAAGAATCCCTATTGTAAAATGTCTAGGTTAAACATAATAATAGATCATAATAATAAACTTTATGTTTATTTAACTATAATATATTATTTATTTTGCATTGATTAATAATACTTACCACTCAACATTGAATTAAATATAAGAGCAGGAAAGTAATGATGAAAATATAAAACACGTCCCATCGCCCAGAAAGGTGCATAATGCAAAAACCATCCTAGGAACAGCCAACAGCATGCTTGCAAAGATTTATCAATATCTGTAAACAATTTAATTTATTAAGACTTTATAAAATGTAACATTTACATAGATTGTGACATTAAGGAATCAAATTTAATTTTAATATCCCAAGCACAATATGTAATAATTTATATGATTATTTTTATCATATCAATTTATACCTTCACTCGGGGCGTCTGCATCAGCAAATGCGCGCTGGCGTCGCACTAGCGCGAAGAGTAATAAAAGTAAAAATATCGCCAGAATAACAAGATTTCCCCACCAGATAACTGGGTTTCCAAGAAGATATATCTTCTGTTTTCCACCCGAGAAAAACTGACCCTGGACAAAGATGGAGAAAAAACTTTAGTAGTTAAAACTGTAGTTTTATTCGAAGTTATACTTAACAAATAAATCTTAAAGCACAGTTTCATAAGAAAATATGTATATATATATATATATATATATATATATATATACACCATACATTTACTGACTTGTTATATCATAAGCTTACTCGGTAATTTATTGGCCATTGCCAAGGTCTGGACGTGACTTCGCCTTCTTTTGGTTTAAGCCCTGCATTTCCTTGAAACATGACGGCGTGAGATTCCAAAAATCGTTCAATAAAACCAGGTGCATAAACTTGGAAGCTGACACTGGGAACTAAATAATCTTATAATTAGAAAATATATAAAAATAATATAATAATATAACAGTCAATTTAAGTACTGATAATATATGTGTGTACCCAGAAAATTCTCAATACGTTGGGGATTTTCATTCTTTATTATGATTATTTCATTTCATTCTTTATTATAGCTTTAGATATAAAAATTATCAATGTATTATAATGAGCTTTTAAGATATCCGAGCATTTCTATAAAAAAAAATATGCAACAAATATTTACCATGATTTTATACCAGTTGCTTCAAATAGATGCGCTAGAAAAAATATATTTTTAAAATTACAAAATATCTATTATATAAAATCAAATTCTAAAATAATCATAAGTTATAGTTAAAAAATATTACTGGTAGATATTTTAATGAACGGTTAATTTAAGTGCTGGTTTTACTTATGCGAATGAGAAAACAATTAAGTGAAGTATATTCCTTTTTAATTATAGCTCGGTTTATAAAGAAAATCCTATTAATTTATTACTTTGCGGGTTCATATAATGCTTTTGAGATATCTCAAACGTTTGTGGCAAAGCTGCAAATAATTATGTCTTAAAAATTTTAGTAATTATGTCATAAAGACATATAGAAATTTTTAAATAAAAATTCCACTAAATGGCATTGTTCATAAAGCACTTAATATAATCAACGATAAATATCATCTCACGTCGTTCGAAGAAGTTTTCCTCAACATTCCATACTGCATTTGGATCTCTCAAGTTTGCCGTGCAGCCTACTTCTTGCTGTTCGAAGCCCCACTTTGGGAGTTGCTTCGTAGTTGTTGTCAGAGCACATCCTTGTAGATAATGAACTAGCCGCAATTTTGTAGTAACAGCCCGCAGCACATCGCCTTGTTTGCCGCCGTCTAATATTAGACGCCAAACGTCATTCGCATCCCCTGTACCGTTCTAGTGATAGAAGAAAAATTATTCACTATAGTAATTATCCTCGAATTTTATACGATTACCATGAAAAACTATTTGAAGTAATAACACCTAAAAAACTGAATTGGTTAGAGACAATAATTCACTAGTATTTCATATAATTAAATTTATATATCACATATATCGATCATCGTATAAACCGAACCCACCTAAAACATTTTCCCATATTTACAAAATAATTATAATCAAGATAAATGTTAATTATGAAATAACATTTTAATCGAAGTCAAAACATCAAAGGTTAAAACGTGAAAAGTTATAAATTATAGCACAGCTTGTAATGCCAATAACGAACGACTACCAAATTGTGCATCCGTTGTTTTAATAATCGAAATATCAAATTATACTTCAGCCGAGTGGATATTAAATTTACTAAACTATGTTTCCGGAGATATAATGAATTTATAATTTTACAGATCAAAAACTACTAGCGTTAAATCATTGTTGCACTCTGGTGGGTAATTGATTAGTAATGTATAAAATAATTATATTGAAATGTTACATATAACCATAGCTGGGCATTAACTCGTTAATCCGTTAATCGTTAATTAACGAAGTTAACATCTTGATTAACGGATTAACTTTTAAGTTAACTTTGAAAAATGTTAACGGACACGTTAACTTCCGTTAAAATGCGAGAAGTCCGTTAATCGTTAATCCAATGCCTACTATTTACCGCACGGCACAGCTTTAGCCATAGGCTTTAGCCAATGCCTTATTAAACGGCATAGAGAAAAGATTTGGACTACTCCTGAATGATGAACAGTGCCAACTTGCCGCGACATTTCACCCAAAGTTTCGGTTAATGTGGCTGGAAACGTATGACAGCAGTAGAGAGGAATGCAGTAAGAAAATGCACGGAAAAAAGGTAAAAGATGCCTTATGGCAAGAAGCAGCGAAAAATTCGAAGGACTGAGATAGTTTAAGTGGCGGAGGGAGCAATGCGAGTAACAACGATGATGACGAGAAGGAAGACTTTTTCAATTCTGTCACTCAGTCTATAGAAAAACCAAAGAGCTACAAACTCTTTAAGGAACTAGCTGTAAGTGGAATTCTGTCTTAAGGCAATTAAGGCGTTGTGCCTTAAGGCAAATTGCTGGTACTTTCCATACCTAAAATTATTATTTTTTTAAAAACGATTGACATTTTGAAAAAAATTTACTTCGAAAAAATAAGATTTTTGAGAAACTATAAACTATTGGACAAAAAATTAATTTTTTTGAAAAAAAAAATGTTTTCTTTATTTTGACATATTTTGGAAGATCTGAACTTTTTTCAAAGCAATTTTACTGCTTTAGGACTGCATAGAGACAAAATATAAAGCGCCGCGTCGCTGTCTAAAGGATAAACATTGGTACGGAACCCATAGGAATGTAAATAAAATTTATACTTATTGTTAAAATCTCTATAAAATATCTAATAATTTGATGTGCATATGTCTAATGATCATTTTGACCGCCAAATAGCTTTTTTTTTACCTTTTTCATTAGATCTCCGAAACCGCTAGACCTGCCTTCATGAAAAATTGATCAGTTCTTCATAATTGTCAATACAAGTAAAATGTTTTTTGAATTATTCAAATTGGACGCTCCGTTCTCTTAAAAACTGAGTTACCGTTTTTGGGTCAATTTTGCCCCATATCTTCGGAACGGCTAGACCTGCCTTTGCCAAAAACTAATCAGCACGTCTTCTTATCAATACGAATCGAATGTTTTTTGAATTATTCAAATCGGTTGATCCGTGTTCCCGAAATCGTCGACGAAAATTTGTATCCATACACATACATACACACACACAGACATTCATTTTTTCTAAGGTATGCCAATTTCGATTTTTTTGCGATTACTATAACTTGCCCTACGGGAAGTTAAAAAAAACTCTTTCCCTTTATTTAGAAAAAAATTCTTGTAAAAACAATATGCAATCATAAAAACGGAAAGTTGACCAATAGCGTTATCACGGTATGTGATAATTGTGCCATTTTCCTTATACACACGGAAGTGTGCATAAAACGCGCGAGGGATTAAATTACACATTTGAATTATACAAGTATTTTGTTTTATTCGTAACCTGTTAACTTCCAGAACCTAAACTAACTAGCTGTAACTGGAATTCTGTCTTAAGGCAATTAAGGCATCGTGCCTTAAGGCAAATTGCTGGAACTTCCTGTACCAAAAATTATTATTTTTTTAAAAACAATTAACATTTTTGAAAAAAAATTACTTTGAAAAAATAAGATTTTTGAGAAACTATAAATTGGACAAAAAATAACTTTTTTTTAAAAAAAAAATTAAAAAAAAAAGATTTTTTTTTAATTTTTTTTTTTTTTTTTGTAAAAAAATATTTTTTTTCTTTATTTTGACATATTGTGGAAGATCTGAACTTTTTTTGAAAGCAATCGTACTGCTTTAACTGTATAGGGACAAAATATAAAGCGCGTAAGCGCCGCGTCGCTGTCTAACGCGTAAGCATTGGTACGGAACCCATAGGAATGTTAACAAAATGTATACTTATTGTTAAAATCTCTATAAAATATCTGATAATTTGATGTGCATATGCCTAATGATCATTTTTGACCGTCAAATGGCTCATTTTTTTACTTTTTCTTCCATATCTCCGAAACCGCTAACCTACCTTCATGGAAATTTTATCAATCCTTCATCTTGTCAATAGAAGTGAAATGTTTTTTGAATTATTCAAACCGGACGCTCCGTTCTCTTAAAAACTGAGTTACCGTTTTCGGCACTTTTTGCCCCGTATCTTCGGAACGGCTAGACCTGCCTTCTCTAAAAACTAATCAGCACGTCTCCTTATCAATACGAATCGAATGTTTTTTGAATTATTCAAATCGGTTGATCCGTGTTCCCGAAATTGTCGACGAAAATTTGTATCCGCACATACATACACACACGTACATACATACACACACACACACATACATCCATTTTTTCTAAGAAATGCCAAAATGTTCAGAAACCTCTGAAACGTAAAAATATATAAAAAATTTCATTTTTGATTTTTTGCGATTACTATAACTTGCCCTACGGGAAGTTAATAAGTTTTTTAAATTCACTAACGCAACGATATAAAAATGTTATTTTACACATATTAACGGATTAACGATTAACGTTAACTTGCGTTAATTCTTCCGAAATGTAACGCTTTAACGTTTAACGAAGTTAACTTTTTTTGTAGCGGATTAACGATTAACGAAGTTAACTATTTGATTAACGGTGCCCAGCTATGCATATAACACATAACATATTATTAAACATATTTGTATATATTTGTTGTGTGAAGTTTGATTTCTGTAATTATCTTATAAATTCTATATTTAAATTCCTCACTAATTCAACACAATATATTTGAAATCTACTACGATACTAACAAATAAAATATATAATAGTAACAAAATGGCTTTGTTTTACAAATATGTGAAAATTTTAAATATTTCGACATGTTATCAAAACATGCAATACTTTTTTGTTTAGAAATATATTAATGTATAATTCCTACCTCTCCATAGCCAGTCACTTGTCTCAGTTTCTTTGATATAGGGGCTGGTTCTCGATGGCTGTGCAGATTTCTCCTGGTTGCCAAGTGTTCTAAAACAACCAAATCTCCATGACGCAATAATTTTATTTCCTTTTCTGTTTCTACTTCAGTTGATTCCTCATCATCATTTTCTTTGGATTCAAAATATGTTTTCATCAACCACTTGTTGTTATCGTCTTTATGTGTGTATGTCGTAATCTAAAAAAAATAAATATAGTTGTACAATTAAATGTTCAATAAATTCTATAGATATTATTATATTATCAACCTGTTGCTGTCTAGCTCCAAGACCTTCAGGATACAAATGTTGATGTGAATGTAAATAACCACCTCCAGTTCGATGATTCTTCAAAGTGACCACTGCACCAACTGCAACATCGCGAGGCATTACTGCTTCGTGCAAAGAATTTCCTATAAGTTGACTTTGGAAACCAGAACTATAAAATCCATCCCCGTTGCCACTGTTATAAATAGAATTATAATTAATATTTTTAAATATATTGAGAAAACACTATTGGGCATAAAATTAATGAAGGTGGATAAAAATTGGCGAATTGCAATGGTTTCGATATAGAAACGGTTTGTGAATAGAAGATCTAAGGTACCTGAATTTGTTATTAATAATTACTAAATACTAAAATCTATGCTAATAATTAACAATGTTCAACCCTAGAACGGTATCTGCACGCCTCCGAGGCGTACATGCAGACAAGAATGAATGGTGATGGTACTTCTGTTATGGAAATTTAGTAAAAATAAAAATACTATTTCTTACTGAACCAGAGTTTTATATATTCTGAAATAACCTTTGATGATATCACAAAGTATGCAATGACAAATGACGAAAAAAAAATCACTTGTTAAGTTGTAAAATGCATTAACTAGAGAGCACGTCTAGGAAGCGTATAGATACCATTACCACTCTAAAAAGCACAATACCGTTCTAGGGTTAAGGCGATTGAAATATAAAATAAATAAAAATAAATATTTTACCTTCTATTTAGTACATGCAGATGAATATAGAAAAAAACCACGTATAATAACGCCGGCCACAAAATCAGAGTGAAAAATCTCAACACCAAATGCCTTACAGCTGCTGCCTAATATAAATAAAAACTTAAATTCAACGTATTAAATAAACAACATATTTAGTCTTGAAACTATAACTTACTACTGGTTTGGTAAGATCACCCAGAATTTCCCATAAATCTCTAACAGTCATCACTCCAACTAGTAATACTATAAATAAACCTACAAATTTGACTGATATTGTTGCGGCAAGTGCAGCGCCGGTCATCATCAACCAGCCACCAGCCGGTTCGTGAGCCAGGGCGCGTTTGGAAGATTTTACGGCGCCCATGAACGCGGCAGACATCGCCCCGAATAACAGAGGATCTAGCAAGATGTACTGGGTGAGAGTAATCAGGCCTACGTCTGGAAAGAAGTAGATAGGCATAATTTTAGGTTTATAGAGGTCAATTAGGTATATATTAAAATAAACTTAATGAAAGATAATTTAATTTAATAAGGGACACTGGGTACGGTTGAGACACTTTGTATTCAGCCAGTTATCTGAAAGAAAAGTAAATTAAATGATAATTTGAATATTTGTCTACGTGGAAATACTGAAATACTGTGGAATTTGTTAAATACTGTTAAATACGATGGACTAGTAATAAAATCAAATCATACAAGAAAAGGGCGAGTGTCACAATCGTCCACACACCAAAGACGGTTTGAACATGTTCAAACAAACATTATACATCATTCCCCTTTGGACACTATGTCATTAAAACGAAACGAACGTTTAGTTGTTATGGCGATTGTCACTGCCGTACGCTGGTACAATTGTAACCATTCTCTTCTATAGTGTTTGAAATTTATTAACGAAAACTGTTAAGATTTTTTAAACTGTGTTTATGTAGTTTTTGTTACAGAGTTGTATACCTATGTAAAACTAGCAAAATTTAGTTTACTTTGGGAACAACAGTTACACTATTCTTAATATCGTAGTTTATTATCTCATATACGCCTTTCTCAAAATCTTCATAAATAAACTTGTTACGAATCCTATTAAAACGCATCCCAGTAATAAACCATATTTCAAAAAATACTAAAAGTTTTACTTTCGATTTGTTCATGTTCATAATAATTCGTTTATTCGTTTTAGTCGCACAAGCATCAAAAGCCAGAATTATGCAAAATATTAGTTGTTAAACTATTACTATATAACTTAATAAAATCTGTGATTATCATAATCGATAAAAACAAGCAATAAAAATATAGTAATTTAAAAAAACATTTCTATTCCCAAATGATGACAAAAATCTTAATTCCATAAATGTGGCAATAATAAAACAAGCTTCGTTGAAGCCCGCTTTCTAAATGTGTTTATAGCACAGTAATATCAATTTAGTTAAAATGTTCTTTACTAGAAGTTTTTATGAATAAAACTATAAAACTACAACTTCTCTGCACTTTCGTACGAAGGTCTGCCTTTATTCGACTAAGTTTAAGGCAAGCAAGTTGTCGGTTCGGGAAAACAAACAATGGTGTTCAAAACTTTGCAGTCTCCGGAAGTACACACGAATCAAAGTTAGGTGTTGTGGCCTTATTTTGATGCCCACAACTTGACCAACTTCATTAATGTAATTAGTTAATAGAAATATTGAATTTAGGTTAAACTTATGGATCTGAAGCTTTTTGACCAATTTAGATAAAATATCTGTATGAATAAAACAGCAAAATGCAATTTTTTTAACCATCTTGCATCGATTCGTCTAACAATAAGTTGAATACAAGCAAGTTGTGTGCCTTTGGTTCGACGAAACAAACAACGGTATACAAAACTTTGCCAAGTCTCAGGAAGTTCACACAAAATCAAAGTTAGTTGTCGTGTCCTTCCGATGGCCACAACATGTCTCATAAAGGCAGGCCAAAGCGAGAACCCGAGAACTATGGTACAAATGAATAGAGACCATGGTAGAGAGCTTGTACATCGGCACAAAGCGCATACGTTCAATTAACTAATTACTAATTGCAATCGCAACGGACTCACCGAACACAATGAGGAGCGCTGACAGGGCGGCCGCTGTCACGGAGTCAGTGAGGTCGTACGCCGTGACATAGGTCATGGGGCCGATCGCGGCACCAACAGCGGTACAGAACTGAAAAAGATATTTTTTAGTTAGTTCATTAGATGGAATTAAACTAGAGCTTTTAATAAAAAATTGTTTTCGGATCCGTATTCATTAAACAGTATGTTGTAGTCGTTCAATTATCTGGTATGATACAATCAGCTTATTGTCATGACAAAAAATATAATAAAATAATTTAATAAAATATCAAGTGCTTCCAATTAATATTAATATTTATAAATCGCTTTAAAATAATATTACACCCTATGAAAAACATTTTAATTCAATATTGATTTTTCTTTCCTAGAAAAATCAAAAACAACACAAATAATGCGAATACGATTATTTACATAAATATATTATTTATATATATATATATATATATATATATATATATATATATTAATATATATACTAGCATACCCAGCCTCGCGTTGCGACGGCCCTTATTAAAATCCACCTGAATGAAATTTGAATCCAATTAACGAACCTTTTGTTATAAAAAATTCATATCAATCCAAAAATAAATAAAATCCGGATTGAAATTTGAATATGATGAATCAATACTATTGATTAAAGTATTTTTTAAACTCAAATAATAAATAAAATGAAATAATTTAAAATTTGAATAAATGAGTACTTTACAAAATTTATAATGAATAACCAAGTGACTTTTATAAATTTGTTAAATCCTATTTGGTATCACGTCCTATTTACCTTGCTAAAATTTTAACATGTTCTATGAATGCTCTATTTAGGTATGGTTTCATAGGTCACATACTATTGGGAACTTGCTATAAGCTCTTAATATTTTCTTTGAGAATTTTTTATAAATTCACGATTAGAGATTTCAATGCATTTTTTTTAAATTTGTGATTACTTACGAATCACTTATAATATAAATTTCCGACTATAAATTGATATTCATACTATCCCTGAAACGAACATGGATAACGTTCTGAGGAATCCGAATGCAAATCCATTAAATGTTTGATTTTTAGCACTTTTATTAATTTTTTATGAACTTTCGTACTGTAAAAAATGGATGATTATTTAGAAAAATTGTAATATTTATACTATGATTTTAGATGTATTTTATCTATTTTGGCAAAGCAATCAATTTTTTTTATATTATTTTCAATTCTTTTTAATTTATTTTGAATTAGCAAATGTCAATAAATATAATTAAAATATTCTTAAAAATCATATTGATTCTAAATAATATGTCATTTTATAAATATTATTTATTACTTTGGTGCTTGATATGAGTATGAATTTGCAATATATTTATTTATATATATATATATATATATATATATATATTATATCATATTATATTATATAATATAATGGGTAATGGTTAAGCTCACGGTTTCGTGTGAACGGAGTCGTGAGTTCGAACTGCGCTCTGAACAATCTGACATCAGTAGTGATGTCTATTTTCACTAGAAACCATAGATCAAAAATATGTTTCCAATTGGAAATAGCCTATTTCGGACACTGAGGTCTAAAATGGCAATGAAAAATCTCTCACATTATTCTTTCCTGAATCGAGTTAGACTTTAACTCGCCTCACGGACCTGCCCTAAGGCAGTACTACCCATTATTAATTATGGGTAATTAATGTATAATTACATTATACATTGAATGTATAACAAATCAAAAGATTTATAAATAACCTAAAAAATGACTTTCTAAAATCTTACATCAAAATGTAAATTACATTAAGAATGTTAATTATTAATAACATGCCTGTAATATAAAACAAAAAACGTAAGTATTATAGAATAGTTATTAATAAACGCAAAGTTGCGAATGAAGATATAAAATGTGAAAGGTAATTTTCTAAAATGTAAATTGCTGACGTAATCTTAATTAAAAATATTTTCCATAAACCACATCAATCAAATAAAAAATCTATTAAACTTGCCAAGTTGTCGAAAGTGTCAATAGCTGGATATGAAACATAGTTTGCAATATTTTATAGACGATGACTTGTGGTAATTAATTAAAAACTAAAATTTTATAAAATATGAAAAAAGTAAAAAAATAGTATATATCATTATTTAAACATAGCTTATATCCCGGATAACGAATATTAATTAAAAAGCAATTATTCATTTACAAATTACGTAATCAAAAATTAATATCTGAAAATTTATTAATCATACGAATAAAGTCAACATGCAAGCATTATAAAACGCATATTTCAATTAATTTTGCAAATTTGCTAATGCTATTTATTCAACAGCTTTGAAAATTATATCATTATGCTATGACGTCCACCCTTTCATAATTTTTAATTGCCTGATATAATTTTAATCACGGGGATTATTGCAGCGTTTCACATGGGTGCACTTTGTTTAAAAATGTATAATATGAAATGCAATTTAATACGCAATTTCATTTGCTCACAGATCAATATAGAAACATTATACAAAGCGTATATACACGTTAAAATGAATGCTAATAGGTGCTATGGTGTTGACGTAAATAAAATTTATGATATGAAATTCTTTTTAAAGAGAAAAAAAGCTCGCGCAGGATTTACTATGATTCTTATAATTAATGTATAACTATTAAATTTATTTACAAGGCACTTACGATTACATTTCGCCATTCTAATACTTCATACAGTAAAATATAAATAGAATAAATATATTATAGTATTCGCATACAACTTTTATTCTTACCTTACTTAAGAAACCAAGAAAGAATTCTGCTGCTCATAGATTGTGCCATAATTTATACAATATCATAAAAGTTTCCTATATTGACTTTATTATAGCGTATAAGTTGAATTTAATAAAGAATATCTATAAAACTCAAGTATTACTATTACTCGGAACTTTTGATTTATTTTCAATAAAAAGAATTAACTTAGGTTCTATGAATAAAATTATACTATCCGATATAAGCATTCAGTTTATATTAAATAAAATTAATTTCAAATGCACTGAAAATGTCCAAAATTGCAAAAATAGGTATGTATTTAAACTCAATTGAATATATTAAGAAATATTTGTTTACTTCATTAAATTAATTTGGTTAACACATTTTGTATCAGTCATTCTGTTTTAACCCTTTACACTCGCGAATTTCGGAATTTATATGTATTATCCGAGTCGAAAAGGTTAAACATGCTTTTTATTAAGTGTGGACGTAAACTGTAAATAGCTACCAATGAAACTCTACAGAACGTGCATTAGAAGCTTCAGCATAGATTCTGATTAGAATCGCTTAAACACAAGGTGAAAATTTAAACTTTGATAATAAAACCGCTTATCGTAGGCCTGTAATATTTTAGTATATTATTTTAGTCTACAATTTCTATTGCCTTACAATGTTCCATCAAAATCGTCAAAAAAATATTATCCACGTAATGAAGAAACGGCACGGGAGATCATTACTAAAAACTAATCGACGCGATTTCCAACCAATATCTTTCAAATAGAGAATTTTCAAAATCAATTCAAAATTATAGTGTAAATTTTACACTTTCGGCATAGATTCTGATTAGAAATCACTCAAGTTTCTCCTTCGGGAAGAAGGAAAATTACTTGTATTAGTCCAGTCATTTAAGCTTAAATTAGGTATTAATCCGGAATTCGAGATACCCGGCTATAAGTCAGTAAATAAATACTTGTATATTGTCACTAAAAAGTTGTCTCAGAACCTACATATGGTAGGTAAATACTTCTCACTAAAATGTTGTCTCAAAAAGTTGTTTTGAGCCAACCTGACTTATAGCAGGGTATCTCAAATTCCGAGGTGACTGGACTATATTAGCAAAGATTCTCACTAGGGAAATCTTCTTAACGCTAGCTGATAACCATGCTGATTACATTGGATTCTGATTGGTAATAATGTATAACATGAAAAATTATTTATAAAACTAAAAATTAAATAAATCAAAATAATTAAATACATAATTTACTTACAATGCGCATGCCCTCATATCGCGTGCCGTTGTACTTATCTCCCGGCTTCTCGAACGGATATGTACCATCGTATCCAGTGAGAGTGCCCGACAGCGCAATCAGCATCTGAAACATTTTATGCGCGGGACATTCAGCTTAATTGAGCCTCAATAAAACGAAAACTCTGTTCCATATTACGATTTTATTTCACGATATAAATAAGTCTGCCTGATTTGGACTAGCCTCACTTGCAGCAAATAAACTGATTTACGAGGCATGATTCACTACTAAGTACAAATAAAAAGATTTTTTTAAGTCACACATAGTCAAGTCAAGTCAAAAACATATATATTTCAATAAATGTAAGTATGTACATTGCATTTTTTAACATGGTATTTTACCCGTAGGTATAGTATCCATCATCGGATATGATTTTGCAAACAATAATTAATTCTGAATATAAAAATAAGTTCATAATTGTGTGACAAAAAAAGAGGAAAAAAAATTATCCTCCAAAAAAACCACATCGCATTATTTATATTAATACATAATTATACAAAAAAAGCAAAACAAAACTAGTGGGGTGGGTGGCATCTTGCCTTAAGGCAAATTGCTGGAACTTCCCGTACCGTAACGAAATGTTCGAGGAATACTGAATGTTTTCAAATAGATTATTATAAATATTGTAACATTGTCTAATATTTATAAGAATTATATAAACTGAATTGCAAAGTTGAAATTATTTGTTTCAACAAAAAACTAAAAAAAAAAAAAAAAAATGGAGCAAAAATTTTTTTTTCCAAAATCAATTGTTTTGTTAAGACAAGCAGAAAGTTTTTTGAATCATTCAAATCGGACGCTTAGTTCTCTCAAAAACTGCCATTTTTTACATATTTAGCTCCGTATCTTCAAAATGGCTGGGCCTGCCTTTGCCAAAATTTAATAAACACTTCTCCCAATCATTACTAATTGAATGTTTTTTAGATCATTCAAATCGGATACTCCGTTCTCTCAAAAATTCGATTTCTATTTTCCGCACTCTTTGCTCCGTATCTCCGAAACCGCTGGACCTGCCTTTGCCAAAAACTAATCAGCTCTTTTCCCTATCAATAGGAATCGAATGTTTTTTGAACCATTCAAATCGGTTGATCCGTGCGCCCTAAAACGTGACTGGAAATTTGTATCCACACATACATACACACACACACACACATACACACACACACACACACACATCCATTTTTTCTGAGGTATGCCAAAATGTTCAGAAACCTTCAAAACGTCGAGAAATGTAAAAATTTTCAATTCCGATTTTCGGCCCATTACAATAACTTACCCTACGGGAAGTTAATAATAGATTTATTCGCACTGAAGGAAGATCTGTGTCGAGCCAAGTATCAAATGTCGCTATGGGCTATGGGTCGATCAGTATATAGTTTGGCATGGCGTGATTGCCATACCAAATTACTAATGGAAGATTACGCATTAAGAATAGCCACAAATACTTTGTACAATAAATTGAATTTAAATTGACATTAATAAGTCTGCCAGATTTTACAAATTATAGGCATCAATTGCGTTTAGTTAGCGAATATGATGATTTACTAGACCATCTTCTTCTATTTAATATAGACAAGGGCGTATTTTACAGAATAGACTAAATTTTTGTAAACCATAATTTATTTTTATTCATTTTTAACGATATAATCAATAAACAAACATATCTAGAAATAAAAATAATTTTATATCTGAAATTATATTAATTTCATTATACATAGTAAATATTAATTTTAGTGATTTTTTTTTAATTTCATTTAATAATAATCTTGCCAAATTTCTGAAGAAAGAAACATTCCATATCTCAGAAACATCGAAATAATTTTAAATGATTTTTTTTAAAAAAACGGAAGCTTTTATAGATAGAGAATATTATTAAAATCATAATAATATTCTCTATCTGAAACTATAAATTAGTAAAACTGTATATACGATATTCAAATATTTTTTTATGTTTACTGTTAAAACTCTATACAAAATTATTACTATAAGTATACTTATTGATTTTGCATTAAAGTTTACTGTGAGAAAATTTGCATATGTACCTACGATTCATACGTTAGAGCTATTTTGTTAGCAACGTTAAAGGTCATGAAAAAAATGCATATACAACTTGAGAAATACATAGCATAATCAAGAGTTAAATTATATAAATAAGTACACAGTAGTGTTTAGGAATATACATCATTTAATTTATTGTATCATAAGTTCTCGCAATTAGTTAAGTTAGTACGTATCAACGCACTATTGTAAATCATATTTGTTTAATTTTCACATATGTGCTGAATTATGGTAATTATTGTATGTAATCTTAATAAAATTGTGTATTTTTATTTACTTGATATTATTTTTCTCGAAGTTTACATTTGAAAAGGTAGATGTATAATTTGGAATCATATAGCATTGCCATTTTGTCGTTTTGTATTTTAGATATATTTGTGAAATTATATTTACCTTTCCCAGCGGTGGATGAACATCAAAGAAGAAAGTTCTATTGATGTACCAACTCGCCATCTTTCCGAAGTGAGTCTCGTCCCAGCTATACACAGAAAAATAATTTCGTTTATATTTCTTCTCGTATAATAATAAAGTTTCATACAATAATAAATAATGTGATGATATAAAGAAGAAAAATATGCCTTTAAAATATAAGCAAATACAATATAGAATACACATATTAGTAAGATGAGATATGCGAATGGAATGAATAAATTTATTATATATATATATATATATATATGTGTGTGTGTGTGTGTGTGTGTGTGTGTGGGTGCGTGTGTATATGTATCGAATTTTATATAAAAATATAAAATTCGATATTTATAAATATAAATGATCAAATATGATTAAGAACGACAAATTAATGAGTTTACATTTATTATTTTAATATACGTAATACCAATAAACCTAATATACTATAAACACATTAATCGTTTGCTTATCAATAACTTTATACACAATTGGCTTATGAAAATAGCTAATATGATATAGAAATGTCCTTAATTTGTCGCCTCGATCAGAAAGGTATTGAGTAATATCATAAAACAATTACTAAATATCTTCGAAATATAGAGAGATCGTAATTCATACAAAAAGCATTGAATAAATCCACTTTTTTAAATAAAGTTAGCTGGTTCCGTCTCACTATTGTTATAGAGTTCGATTTTAAAATAATATTTTATTTATATTCTATTTGAAAAGCAATTACAACTCCATGTTCTAAAAGCTGTTGTCTTCATGTACAGCTTAACCTAGATATTGTTCGCAAGAGGGTAACCCATTGGTCAACCACTCTTATTTTTGTGTTAATTATATATATTAGATATGTATATCTAATAGATTTGGCATATGTATTTTTATATGCAATAATATCCACGAAAGGCGATTATCAGGTGAGATTATATTTGTGATCTCTAACCTTATGTAAAAATCAGGAATAATGCTGCTTCATGTCGGACTTAGACGAAGCTAAGATCGAGACATAATAATTTGAAAAATGAACAAGAACAGTTTCATTCTGAAATTTGTGCTTCGTTTTAAAAATATTTATAGTTAAATAAACAAACGTAAATGTCTAATCCAAAATAGACTTATTCCACTTTCAAATAAACCAGTCCAATGGTAACTGTTCTTTATTTTACGTAGAATACGCATAAATTATAATTTTGATTAGAATTATATTTTGTCTGAGAAATATAAGAATACAATTGTAAAAGCATTGTAAGTATGTTTATATAAAAACTTTATTTCAAAGTTACATTTCATCCAATATCTCAATGATTTTCCAGGAGCAAGAATTTGTTCCTCTTTTATACTCGCACATGTAGTGTATTTGTCTTGTTTTTCCCCTGGTTTGCTCAGTGCATTTGCAAGAATGGTTGTTACAAATACGAATCACGTAGTTTTCGACTGTAAACGGCCACGAGTCTGCCTGCGCTTTTAAGTTTGAAGAATGATTTACATATCCCGACCGAAAACTTTGGCTCTGCTCCGCGCCGGGCGTCAGCGCGTGAGCAATCTAGCGTCGCGATACGCCCCGTGCGTTGCCACTTTCGCGAATACGGAAGCAAATTACAAGCTAGTTTAAACAATTTCACTTAAATCTTGAATTTAATTTAAGGCGACGTTAGGCGTTAAATTAAACTTTTCGAATATAAATACACGCGTCAAACTTTGTATCTGTTCTTCACATTTTAGTATTCGCTTTAATTTTATTCGCCCAATAGTATGTTGAAAAAAATATTATTCTTAATTGTATTATTAATTCAGTTTCATCAAGTTTACATACCATCAACATTATACTAGTATGTATATCATATTATTATAAAATAAATTATTTAATTTAAATACATGAACAGACTGACGTACCGATAATACTCGACCATATAAAAAAGTTCACCGAAATTTTTTATCTAAAATGTGGAGATCATCCTAATACTAGCATCGCGGGTCTCGGCCAATATACTAGAGACGTAATTTGGTATGGCAATCACGCCATGCCAAACTATATACTGATCGACCCATAGCAGCGGATGATCCTTGGCTCGTTACGAATTTTCCTTCAGAACGAATAAATCTTTTGTTTTGTTTTTCTTTTTTGTGTAATTATCTTTCATTATAAATATTGCTATGTGATTTTTTTTTGGAGGATAATTTTTCTTTTTTCTTTTTTTTTTTGTCACACAATTATGTCACAACTTTTATATTGAAATACTCATTATTGTATTGATAGAACAGATATGAGGGATGATATACCTACAGGTAAAAATCCGAAATAAGAAATATTATGTACACATTTATATTTACTTAAATATACGTATTTATTATTATTATTATTTAATTTAAATAATATAAATAATAATAATTAATATAATATTCAATAAAGAGGCTTAAAAGGGTAAGGGGTAGGCTTTGAAAAAAAAATCACTTATTATCATGCGGCAAGTGAAAGGTCTAATAAGATATCACGTCTATTTAAATTTTTAAAAAATCCTAAATTTAAAAAAAAAATATGATTTATTCTAGGTCCTAAAAATACGCATGATGTTTGGTGAGGACGGAAAAGTAATTTTAAATATCACCAAGGAGATTTGGTGGGTCCAAAAATCCTTAGAAATCGATTACATGATTAACGGACGCCAGTGGCGTACCTAGAACTTTCGCCGCCCGGGGCGGTCTCCAGATTGCCGCCCTTTCAATTATAAGTCAGTCAAATAGTAGTTTTCATAAATTAATACAAATAAACTAGAGGTGCGTGGCATCGTGCCTTAAGGCAAATTGCTGGCACTTCTCGTACCGAAACATAAAATTTTTAAAAAAGATTAAATTTTTTTTGAAATCTGAAAAAAATATATTTTTGAGAATTCCGAAAATTTTGAAAAAAATGACTTTTTTGATTTATATTTTGAAATTTTTTGAAAATTTGTAACTTTTTTTCAAATCAATCGCGCTGCGCAGCTGTTTTGGAGACGAAATATCGAAGCGAAACGGCTAGACATTGATACGGAACCCATAGAAATGTAAATTAAATTTGTTCTTATTATTAAAATCTCTAGAAAATATCAGATAATTTGACGTGGATATGTCTAAAGATCATTTTGGACCGCCAAATATGTCATTTTTTACTTTTTTTTACTTTATAAATCTCTCCGTAATCGCTAGACCTCTAGACCTGTCATCCCAAAAACAGTTCTTCGTTTAGTCAGTACAAATAAGATGTTTTTTGAATTACTCAAAACGGACACTTCGTTCTCTCAAGAACTAAATTACAATTTTTGGCTTTTTTGCCCCGTATCTTTGAAACGCCTGGACCCGTTTTGCCAAAAACTAATTAGCACGTTTTATCAGTACGAATTGAATGTTTTGTTCAAATAGGTTGATGCGTGTTCCTACTGTTATCGATGAAAGTTTGTATCGAAACACACACACATCCAGTTTTTCTAAGATTTGCCAAAATTCAGAAACCTCTGAAACGTAAAGATATATAAAAATTTTCACTTTCGACATTTTTGCGATTACTATATATAACTTACCCTACGGAAGTTAAAAAATTATTAAATTATTCAATCAATATTAATTAATAGACAGAGTAATTTTTTTCAGACATATTTATATGCACTCGTCAACATATTTATATAATGCCCTAAGGCTTTGCAGACCTAGCAGACCCCGCCTTCTGCCAGCCCTGATTTTCAAAAGAAAAATTGATGATTTAAAAAAATATTGATAAATCACTTCAAAGTAATCATATAAACTTTTTTAAAAAAAATGACATTTATAAGCTGATATAAAAAAATAGGAAAAATCGCTGAACAAAATCGTAAAGATGCTTATGCGAATTCAACGAATTTTAATGAATACAATAAAATAAAATTATTAACCTGTTCTTAAATTAGAATTCAAAATTTACACAAATATACATTTATATACACCGAGGAATAAAATTCTAAATCATATGGTTAATCATAATTTATATAAATCAAATATTGACAATAATAACAATCATAATGATCAATTTATAATTCAAGAAAGAAAACTAGTTGGTACTGGTATTTTGCCTTGAGGCAAGTCACATGAACTTCCCGAAATGTGTAAATAATCGACTTAATCAATAAAAAATAAATTAATTTATGAGTGATTAAAAGTATTCCGAGTGGGTTTATTACACATCATTGCAAACGAACGAACGAACACGTTAACTCGGAGTATTTTCTAAAAGCAAATTTTCAAAAATCAATAATTTTAATTAATCAATAATTATAATTGAACCAGTTTCCGTAGGACTTTAATGGTTTACTATGTTCAAGACCAAGTACACTATCGTTATACCAACTAAATCATCTAATTTTATTTTTAACAAACGTCAAAAAAACTATTTTCTCTAACTTTGATAAATTTTTAAAATTAAACTACTTGTCGTAAGGCCGTAATAATTCAGTAAGTTCTATAAGGCAATGATATACATCGCCAAAGAAAGTTTCATAAAAATCGGCTTAATTTTTTTTCAACAGTTAATTACAAGAAAATGGCTCGGTAGATTTTCACCTAAAACTGATCAATATCAATCCCAACTATATCTTTCGAACAGTTTTTAATTTTTTAAAATCGGTTCGGTAGTATGAGCTTAAATGTTTAACACTTCTTTCCAAATTACAAAGAAACGGCACGGCCGATCGTCGCACAAAACTGAGAAACGATATGCCTCATCGAGATACATCAAATGGCTTTTAAATTTCTGAAATCGGTTCAGGCGTTTTTGAGCAAACGTCGATGAAAGTTCTAATTTTGACAAATGCCAAAAAGACCATACTAATTTTTGCAAACTTTGACGAATTTTTAAAGCTAAACGAGTTGTCGTAGGGCCATAATATTTTAGTATGATCTAGAAGACTATGGTATCTACCGTCAAAAAAATAATCATAAAAATCGTTGAAATTTTCTTTTATAAATTTTATTAAGAAAACGGCCCGGCCGATCTCTACCAAAAACTAATCAGCACGATTCCCGACCAATATATTTCGAACGGTTTTTGAATTTTCAAAATCAATTCAGAATTGCAGGCTAAAACGTAGACGAAAAATTTTCACTTTTCTGCGATTTATGAAGAAACAGCTTGGCCGATCGTCGCACAAAACTGACAAATAATAGTCCTCATCGAGATACATCGAGTGGCTTTTAAATTTTTGAAATCGGTCTAGCCGTTTTTGAAAAAACGACGATTTACGACAAAAAATCTGTTCACATACACACACATACTTTTTCCAAATTTGGGCTCATTCGATTCAGAATGGCTTGAAACGTCGAGAAAACATAAAATTAGCGATTCGGATTTTTTGATAAAAACATAAACTTCTCCTTGGGGAAGTTAACTAGTGGTGTATGGCATTGTAAGTTAAGGCAAATTGCTGGAACTTCCCGTACTGTAATGATATATTCGAGGAAAATTAAATGTTTTCAAATATATAATTATAAATACTGTAACTTATATATGTTTACAGAAAAGTAAATAAACAAAACTCAATCAAATTTGAAATGAAGGGCTTTGTCTAATATTTATAAGAAATATATAAACTGAATTACAAAGTTAAAATTATTTATTTCAAGTATATAAGTGAGCATTTGAACATTACAAATTGAAGTTTTTTGCACCAATCAAATCGGATGTTTCATTCTCTCAAAAACTCGATTTCTATTTTCTGTACCATCAAATCGGTTGATCGGGGCGCCCGAAAACGTGAACGAAAAAATGCGGACACACAAAACACACACACTTCCATTTTTTCTGAGGTATGCCAAAATGTTCAGAAACCTTCAAAACGTGAAGAAATGTAAAAAATTTCATTTTCGATTTTCGGTCCATTACTATGACTTACCCTACGGAAGGTAATAAATATGAAATATGTGTAATAAGTGTGTAATAAGTTGCTTTTTACAACTATGTATAAATAAACTGAAAAATGCCGCCCCAAAATAAGTGCCGCCCGGGGCGGACCGCCCCCACCGCCCCCCCCTAGGTACGCCACTGACGGACGCCCCTTAATATTTAATACGATGTTTAAATCAAGTCAATTAATGATTCATGATGATAAATTCTTGATGATTATCTTCACAATTCCATAAAATCATATTCTGTGGTTTGTTGTTTATATAAACGCGAATAGTTTCATTCAAAGGGCAAATGTCAGACTACTATCATCATCTGTAATTATATTATTACATATGCAAATAAAGTCGAGTCTAGACTGTTGTACATTTATAAAATTATTAAGGAGTTTGAAACTTATGGTAAAAACCAATGCGTCTACAGTAAAATTGAAGTATAACCCATATTAAAGAAATATCTTAACTAATGAGCAATTATTAATTAAACAAGCAAATATAAACACACTTGAATATTACCAGAGTTTTGAAACTTTATATATAATTTTCCAAAAATAATGTATTACTATACTATTTATATAAAGCCCTTAATTAGAGAAACGTTTCAATGAATAAGCAATTGAACGACGAAAAAGCCGGTCAAATACTTTAAACTTCTTTGTCAGATTTTATAAATGATGTTGTTAAATCCAAATTTTCAATATTTTATAAAAACCAATGCAACAAGTTTTTAATAAATTCTATTGATCAGTAGTTATTCTAAAAATATGATTCTCCTTCAATAGATTTTGATCAAAATATTATGAGAATGAATGTGGTTTAATACTTTTAATATATTAATAAAATACATTTATAAATAATTTTCTTGCTATTACACAATTTCAAGCAAATAGTTCTTAATTCCTTACCAGACATGATCAGGTTCGGTGACTTTATAAAATCTTGTGCAAAACGTTAATAATGTTATAACACCAAACACGTACCACCAGTTTCTGGAATACATATTGAGAATAATTGAACCCACATAATAACACTAAATATTATAACCGATTGAACAAACAATGATTTTTAATAAATTTTGAAAAAAACTTGAACTTACGCATTTTGCGCATGCGTCTTTTTCTTAACAATTTGCACAAAGTTTAAATCTGTTTTTAATTTAGCAATACCAGTCACACTGTTAATACACATGATATAATTTTATAATGAATGACATTCATAATCAATTTGATAGTAATGAATTTTATATTTTCAATTTCACAAGAGTTCTGTCAAGTAACTGTTGTTTTACACGTATATTGCCTGCGTTCCCCCATACTCGCATTCCTCATGTCTGCATTCACCTGAAATCAAACAGGTAGCTATGTTGCCAAGGAAGCGGTAAAGGATTATAAAATACAAAAGCTTCATACCTTCTGAAGTGATTTTAATTAAAATATATGAAATTATCAATTTGTATACTTATGAATAAATATTTATGCGTTCAATTCGCATAAGCACCATTCAAAGAAATACAACGTGACAACGCGGCTAACGGTGCTTTTTCTTTCAATAGAAATGTTTGAGCGCAAAGCATGGCGTCACCTGTACAAAATGTTCTGAAGATTGGGTTCTTATATTTGATTCAAGAAATAATTTATAACATTTAAATAAAAATTGATATTATAACATTAGGCATATTCAAACTTTGTTTAATAGCAACCATGCCTTGATCAACATAGATAAAAATATATATAAATGATTAAAACATTAAATTTGAAAGATTTGAAATTATAATATGTGCTTAATTATATCATAAATAATATAATTACACTATTGCTAATAAAAATAACATAATTATATATAATTATAACTACAATTAATTATTATTATAATAACAACTAACTTAAAATAAAACCGAAAATCAACTAATTTATAGTTCAAGTATTTGTGTAGGTACTTTCATAGATGAATAAGCATAACTTTTATAAAGATTTTACTACTTTTATAATATTTTTGATATTAGTTACATTGTTATTATAATTCGGCATCATATTGTAAAATATGAATCTTAATTTTATAAAAATTAACATTTTATATTATGAAAATAAATGAGTGAACTTCTAGTAAAAAATGAAAAATATAGACAGATTCAAGTACAAAATAATAAAATTAGGGATTTGGAAAAATAACGACTATTATTAGTTTCAATCAAGTCTATATTTTACCTTCTTGAAATTAAATCACTGAAAATTGTAATGAAAAAGTATTTAATCTATTTAGAATTATAAGTGTTTTGAATAATGAATATAGTTATAAAAAAAATCAATCAATTATAATAAAATTCAAGTTATTATGTATGGGTATGTAGAGAGCTGAAAGTAAAATATAAGTCTTATAGAATGAGAAAAAATATAAACGTTTTCCTATTTAATCACAGCATATTTGCGAATATTGTTATATATTATATTAACCATATCAAGTTCTAAATAAATTTAAAGGGCACATTGTGGAATTCTGTATCTAAAACACCAACCCTTAAATAGTAGCGCAGTCTGCCAGTACATTTTCCAACATATTCTCTTGTTTTGTACTGTCAATTGTGACATTGTATGAATCTCGGGAAATGTTTTATCAATAATAAATAAAGATTTTCAAGATAAATTAATTAAATATAAATGATTGCGCTTAGAGCACATAATGAACGATGAAGATGAATCACATTACCAACATGATGAAGGTAATAACGGTACAATATCGTACAAATAATGAAATAATATGTAATGTTTATAACTTTGTAACTTAAAATTTGTTTTTAACAACTATTTTCATCAATTGTTGCAGAATATGAAGACGAACAGGAAGAATTGGGAGGTAAGAATATTTATAATTACTAAATATATATTAAGGATGTCACTTTTTAAAGTGTTTTATTCAATTTTTTTATTTGGAATGCATTGAATAATTAGTTCTATTGAATAATTAACTTTATTTCATGATCTTATAGTAGATAAATATATTCTCCAGTTTGAGTCAACAACTCCTAATTAACTTCACATCTCAATCAGAGTTTATTGTATTTTCACCAGATCAATATAGTAGTATTCAAGACAGGGTAACCAATAGTTTTCAAAGTAGTTTTTCTTATTTTCTTCGATTCATAGTAGCTGAATCAGAAAGTGCTGATGAAAATGAGGAATCTGAGGAAGAAAGCGAAGAAGGCAAAAAGAAGTTTCGTATACGACCATCAGATGCCGCAATCGCCCTCGACGATTACGAAAACTTTCCATACGGAAAAGATTATGAACCCATAACACTCGAAACATTGCAACAAGTAGCTTCTGAATTGGGTATCATCAAATTATGTTGGCCTGTCATCACCGAACCCAATTTTGAAGGTAACAGAAAAATGAATGAAATCGATTGAAACAGGCAACTTGATATCAAGCAGAAGTGATATCAGATTTTCACTTGAGATTATAGATCTTAAATATGATATTAATTTCTCGTCATTGCAAAAATTATTAGAAAAAAATACTAATTAAGTATGTTAAAATTAAATCTTAACTAGGAAGAAAAACCTACTGAGTTGTCTTTATTGCCTAATCTATTAAATTAGCAAAGCTAATACTGAACATTTTAATAAAAGAGACAGATTGAAATTCGAATGAAAAAGTAAACTGACTTTCAACGATTTGCGTTGTTTAAATTGTATACATGTATATTACCATTTACCTAAAAATCGTTCGTTCTATGAAAACAGGTCGAACGGAATTTCCAGAGTCATACTATAGCAATTCCGATAAAGAAAAAGTAGCACTTTTATACGCCGAAAACTTTCGTCGACAATTTTCAACCGTTTATCCTAACAGAAAATTATTATTTTTGGCGACTGAAAATGAATGCGGCGTGCAGGTTAGTTCTTTTCCAAAATGTAATAGTAACTTAATTTCACTAATAATTTAAAAATAAATAAGACTACAATTTAATAATCTGAAAAATATAAAAAATTACATTAATGTATGAAATTTCAAAAAAAAATTGTAAACAGATTTTTGTTCAGACTTAGAAATTTTAGTATTTGAAATGGGTATATATTTATGTATAAGAATGTAAATTTGATTATAGAAATTGCTTTCAACATCAATCAAAATAACCGCGCTGCCCTACCGAGAATTAAGAAGTGTATCCGGATGCGGTTCATTTGTTTCCGATTTTATTACATATGAACCTTTAGAACGACCTACATTAATGGTAAGTAATAAACAAATTCAATATAAAGTCATATTTAAAGAATTTTTATTTTGTAAAAAAATATTACATGTATATTAAATCATATATACTTAAAAAAACAAAAATATTGCAACGCTATTAATATATACAACAGCCTAACGCTCTCTCCTTCAGTTGCTTTATAATAATATCATAAATTAATTAATTTAAATACTCTACTAGGAATTCAAATTATTTGGCATTTATATTCATTGGTCTTATAATAAGAACTAATAATATTAAATAATTAAATATTGGCATATCTTTGGAAGGATTCTTTCATATAAATTCATTGCAAACTTAACTATCAATATCTCTCAATCAGGATTAATTCACACAAATGTGTTATAGAAGTATTATAAATATCAAGAATCACATTTAACATCATAAATCTTGACAGTTAATGAAAATATCTTACAATACAAATATCAAATTTTAAATAAACTTCCTCGAATTACTATAGCATGACAATACAAAGTATATATAAATGAGATCAATATTTATTGTACATTTGGTTTAAACATTGACTAACATAAAACAGACTTCTTTAATTTTCAACATTGTCCTAATTATATGTACAATTGATATATAAAGGTTCTCTAAATAACAAAATTACATAACATATTTCATATTTAATATCATCACTGTAGGCTTTATAAATATCTCTTTACTAAAAAATAAATTACTTCCTCCTACTAATTTTGTCCTTTGGAATGTTTTTATCTGCGCTGTTTTTGCGATCGGCATAACTCCTTACGTTATTGAGCAAATATTTAAATTGCATAACTTGCATCGCCGTGACACTAGGGTCGCTGCAAGCTTCTAACCATTGCAGAAACTTTTCGCCATGTTCCAGAGCCTCCCTTGGACTTCCAGCAAATTTTTCATCTCCATTCTTTGATTCCATCGAGCATATTTTGTCATCATCATTATTATTATTATTAAATAATAAATTATCTAGAACAGCTCGTACTTTCGTAGGATTCTTCGGGCTTTCTGCTCTGTCGATCTTGATATTATCCAACTTTAAACTTGGTGGTTTCGTGTTTTCTGAATGATCGCTTTCGGCGGACTGCGATTCTACACTCGGTATATTTTCGACATTTATATCATCAGCAGATTTGGGACTATTTTCTAATAAGGAATCCTTTTCATTATCGACTATTTGTTGTGGTATATGCATGTTTTGAGCAATATCACTATGCATTTCGTTATATACTGGCAGTTCTCCATTGTCACTAGTTGCTTGTTGAATATTTTCAGGTTGAATTGTCTTATCCTTACCCTTCGTAAGTTGTGAGAATAAAATGTTGTTCGGTTTTGACTGACCGGCCATCGTGTTATTGAATTGTTTATACCACTGCCAAAACCAGGAGCTCTTTTGGCTTTCTGGAATAGATGATAATGGCGGAAGTCCAGGTAAGGACTGTTGCGATGCTAATCTAGCAGTCATTTTTGCTATATTAGAGGCTACTGATGCTGACGAACTTCGATGACTGTTCTGAGAATGTCTTGTAGATTGACTAGTAGGAGGATTATTCAAGCCCAAATAAGCTTGCTGAGATTTCACCCAATACCATAAAGCATCGTCAACTGGTGGTTCTTTTGGTGGTGTATGGTGGTGTTTATTCCTGTTAGATTTATCTGTCGCCAGATTTAAAGCAGTATCAGTTACGTCAACTCCGCTGCGGTGGGATCTCGAGTTCCTAGTCATATCTGTAGGACTGGGCTGCAATGTCGATCTCGAAGCCCGAACATTGCGCAAACTGTTTTGAGTAGAAGCATGCGCGGCCATTGTAGAATGTTGCGAAAATTGCGCCAAAAGACCCAAGTTGGAAGCAATTTCATTAAAGCTCAAACCAAGGGGGCTCTGAGCTAAACCTGAAAGTCCCGATAAATGATTCAAATTACTCAATGGACTAATAGCACTCATCGATAAATCAGATGATTTTGAAGCCAAAGATGCTCCGCTCAGATCTGCCGGTTTTGTAGTAGCAGCAGCTGCACTCAAAAGTTCGGCAGTCGACTTCAATTTGAGACCAGACAATTCAGCACCATAGCGCACTAAATCCGCACCCGAGGGCATCATGCTACTAGCGCCCAAATCAGAGTCCATTACAGTATCCATACGTTTATCAACGCCGCTCAAATCTAGTCCTGATGCGCTAACACCATTTTTTATTACTCCTAGCGAACCCGAAAAGTCGTATTTCGGAGGCTTAGTAGCTGACGTATAATCGTACTTAGTGCGTTTCTCTGGAACAGCCGATGAAATACCCAAAGAATCTCCGGAATCATCTCCACCCACGGCGGCGACTCCGTCAGGTGTAGATTGTCGCGACATATATCGCAGTTTATCTTCATTTTTGCACCAACCTCGTAAAGTTGATTCAGGTACGCCTATGTCACGAGCAACTGAAGCCTTGGATTCACCATCGTGAATCCGCTGAATGGCTTCGATTTTGTCGGAAGCGGTTAAATTGCGTAATGGTCTTTTGCCTTTGGTTGCCATTGTCTGTAAGAAAGGAATGATAATAATTAAATAAACATAATATTAATTGTAAATAATATAAGCATACCGAAATAATTTATGAAACGTTATTCACACAATATAGTATATGTTAAATCATATTTTTTTCACTACCTATTAAGTTTGTGAAATGGCGTTAATCGTTCGCAAATAGTTCATTATCAATTATTGTGTGTATTTAATTTACGCTATATATATATATATATATATATATATATATATATATATATACAGTAGTGTAATACACATTAATGTATTATAATAGTTCATTAGTGATTTAAATTTACTTTAAACATAAATGGGTCCAATTCACGCCGGTCGCATTTCTTTACGTGCCGAACACGTGGTTTTGTTTTTGTTCAACACATTCAAGCGAAGTTATGAAATGAAGAGAGTAATAATAATGACGTATACCTATTTTCTGAAAGTGTGTTAGTACGTCTGTCGCGTAGTGGGGATTCATCCCGCACTGTTAAACGACGAATACATGTATATATATACACACACTACCAACAAAGATAAAATGCATACTACGAAACGTGCTCCACAAACGGGATAAATGAATGGAAAACGTAATAGCTTTTGAACCAATAAAATCATGCAGCAGCGCGCAAAAGCACGAGATATACAGAGTTTTATGAAGCCGCTTTTTGTTTTCATAAGCGACCTTCATAACATAAAACAAAACGATCTTGCGGTATCATGTGTAGTCTAGTCGTATTGCGGCGTGGGCGATGCACATGTCGCGTGCGATCTATCTCAATATTTATAAACAATGCAATTATGTTTTCTGCATATGATTAGTAGTCGTTTATAAGCTACATTACTAATTGTTATGTAATTGTATTTGCTCGCAGTTAAAAGCATACAGAAAATATAAAGTATGAAAATATCAATCAAATTAAATAATGAAACTCGTAACTATTAATGAAAATCGTATTTGTCTATATGATGAATGAAATGAAAAATAAAAATAACAGCAAATATATTCTATATATAGTAAGTTTCAATGAATCAGAGTAGCCGACAAGCGCCAAAAAGAATGATACAACATGTGTGAATACTACAAAGATTCCGCTTAAGTAAATTTATAAATAAGTTTAACAGGTACTCACGTGTTTCCTATCTTCAAACAGCGATATCAAATTCCAGGAAGCATGTAGTAAATTTGTAGAATCTCGAACCGTGGAACCAATGATTATATTTAAAACTAATTATCTCACTACTTCGACACAGCACTGTCACGATGCAGTTTTAACACAGCGTTTACACAAAATTCGCAAAATGCACTACGGTTATGTTATGTGACTCACGCGATGTACAAATTGAACTGTTTACCCGACGACAAGTATTTAATAACACTTAATACAGTGTGTATTGCACTGACGGCGATTTTCGATAAATTGATCCTTCTCGGTCGCTATTGCTAACCAGCTGGTATCGCGGACCACGTTAGACTGAGAACGGTCGCCAGTTTCGTGTGGCTGTCAGGCTAGCCTTCCCCGCGATGTTCGCACGGTACGTTGATGTTAGGAGGTTTCGCGTGAGTTGTGTGGGTACTCTGCGAACATCAAACTGTTGGAGCAGGCTTTCCTAGACTCGCATTACATATAAATTCAACACAAATTTTGGAGTTGCAGTGAATATATACGAGTATTGCACCCATTTGCCTAAGCATTAAGAAATGTGAAATAATCTGAACTACAACAGTATTAATTACTTCCGACTTTAATTTTTTAATTTAACTAAAAAAATATTATCATCAGGGGGCGTCCATTAATCACGTGAGGTTTTTAGAGAGAAGGGGGGTTTGACAAAAAATCACGAAATATCACGTTGGGGAGGAAGGAGCATAGTAAAATATAACGTGTATTTATTTTTTTTACTATTTTTTATAAAAAAGTTCAAACATTTAAAAAAAAATAAAAAAAAATACAGTTTTCCCACGTAACTAAAAATACACGTGATGTTTGGTGGCGGAGGGGTAGTAAATTTGAATATCACCAAAAATCACCAACGGGGAGGGGGGGTCTAAAAATCCTTAAAAACTAGCTCACGTGATTAATAGATGCCCCCTCAGATTGAATTTCGAAATGCAAAATAAAACTAAAATTTTTTTTTTATTTAAACTGACAAGAAAAAGTCTAGTAGTGTTAGTGTAAAATATTTATCATTAGTTAATTAAGAACATTTCAATTTAAATTCCACTACAGATGAAATGCAATAACTATTTGCATTTTTATAATTTATATATTTTGCATCTTTATAATAATGCAATAAATTTCTGACGAAATCTACAGAATTAAAAAAAATTGTAAATTTCTACCATTTTTATTTGACGTATTTTCCTGAAAATTGTGACTCATATATTACTTTAGTTTTATTCATTTATTTTTTATGTTAAGATGACCGGAACTGAATTATAATGTACCAATAATATGTGCGTAACTAGTATTGTACTGGTTTTTAGAGCAACTTGCTCCCTCTTTCTTTTATCACTAATAATCCACTGAAGATGATATAGAATAATATATCAAACCGTTTGGTTTGGAGTTCAATAAAGATTTCATAAACTTTTACAATTTTTATTTTATGTATTGCCGTTAAAATTTTATATATATATATATATATATATATATATATTAGGGTGGTCCTTAAAATGATCATTTTCAAATTTCCTTGCTCCCAGGGGCTCAAATGGTTCCAAATTGATAAAAAACAATTTTTTGAAAGTTTTAGCTCTTAATATTAACGTTTAGATAATGCGCAATTCAATCAAACTTCGTATGGAAAGAGCATGGAAAAAATTTTGAAAATTTAAAAAAAATTTTTAGGTATAACTTAGCGACAAATGAATGAGCTTTATTCATTCATTTGTTCGCTAAATTACATCTATAAAACATTTTTAAAATTTTTGAAAATTTTTCCATGCTATTTCCATACAAAACTTTGATTGAATTGCGCTCTATCTAAACATTAATATTAAGAGCTAAAACTTTCAGAAAATTGTTTTTTATCTATTTGGAACCATTTGAGCCCCTGGGAGCAAGGAAATTCGAAAATGACCATTTTAAGGACCACCCTAATATATATATATATATATATATATATATATATATATATATATTAATATATATATATATATATATATATATATATATAGCTGTATAATTTTTGCTTTAAATATATGTGAAAATTATTCAATAAAAATATATGACACTCGAATGCCCAAAAATTAACAAATGTTAAAAATTAGCTATACAATTGGAGTATTATATATCTTTAGTTTTTTAAAATTTATTCCTTATAAATTTATTGCTTTGCTTCATGTACTAAGATTTAAAAATCACAGCTTCAATAATATTATATGAAGTGTAAAATATCAACAAGTAATAGTCCAGAATATTTATAAATAAATGGAGACTCTATCGACTTTACTCTATACTAGAAATACAAGTGTATTTGTTATATTTTAAATATTTGGATATGAAATATGAATTCATGATCATGATTTCAATGAACACTTTGAGAACCGGCGCAAGCACATGGCATCGAGAGCGCGGATGGACTTAAACGCGCGCCGGCCGGCTAGCGGCTTGGGGTTGGGGGGCTGCAAAGTGGTTTGGGTCGCAGGCAGTCGCTTTCGCCGCGAGTTGTGCGCTTCTCGCGACATGAGTGCGAGAGTACAAGAGATATAGACGGAGCATATAGTTCGAGTACGGTTCGACCGCCGGTGCTGAGGGACGCGTTTTCGGAGTAACGTTCGACGTTCGAGTAATCAGCGCGACCCAGCAGGGATGAATCTTCTATCCTCTCGTCCGACTTTATGTTTAGTAATTAATAATCCTCGATGCACATTAGGGACACACGAAAGATCTGCCAGCATATCGGTGTGAATTCATTTTCAGAAACGTGCACGAGAGGCTTATTGGACAATTATGTGGGTTCTCTTATCGGGCATATTATATTTGTCGTAATTTTATAAATACATTACAGGTTCACCATGTTATTTTCATACTCGTAATAAATGAAATTATTATAAACTCAATTACATTAACAAAAACTCAATTATTGCTACTTTATTGCTAATGTAGATCATCAACATTAAATAGTACTTCGAATATTATTTGAGATTATTATATATAGCAACCAGTTGGTCGATCATTATTTAATCAAACAAATATTGCGTTACAATTTTTATTTTTTATTTCATAATTGTGATTAAGTTCTGGGAAGTTAATATTTATTGAGGAAGCAAGAAAAGCTATATTATTATTGTACTAGCTATTATAAAATTCTTCATATCTGTTTTCTAAATTGTAATAGCTTCAAAGATAACAATGAGTAAGCGATAAACAATACAAATAAAAGGTTATTTCAGAAAACGGTGCGCGAACAGTTTCAGGTAGAATAAGAATTCGCATGGATTATCGGAGCAATGATTCATATATTTTATATCTATACGGCGACCATAAACGGATTTTTGATTCTTACAAATATTATCTACTTAATTTTAAACAATTCTAGTTTTCACAAAAACTTCTTAGTATATATATATATATATATATATATATATATATATATATATACATATATAGAAAGCGAGAGATTTTTCTTCAAATGGTGAAATAATATGATAAAATTGTTCTTGGGCATCCATCCAGTAATTAAAAACAGTTTTATTGAAAGAAAATGTTTTTATTCAGAAAACATACGTTTCGGGTCTTGATCTGACCCATCTTCAGTGCTACAATTAAATATTTCAGGGTTACAATTTCAAACAATATAAAAAATATATAATTACAGACAAAAATAAATAAAAACATGTAAAAAAACATAAATCTAACCAATTTAATACATTTGTTTTAAAACAAATATATATTGTGAAAGTATATACGAAAAGTATATATGAAAAACAAACATAGAATAAACAAATGTAAAAAAACTCACCACACAAATAAATTTGAAAAAAACACAAATCACACGAAATTGCACAAAAAAATATGATACAACAAATTGATAAATCGTCGAGTTATGTAAATTTTAAATAATTGTAAAATTAAAATAAATAATATATTTTATTATAAAAAAAGCGTATTCCAAACGAACATGTTATTTTAGTTAATAATTTTACAATTATCTGAAATATTTAATTGTAGCACTGAATCAAGATCCGAAAAGTATGTTTTCTGAATAAAAACATTTTCATTTAAACTGTTTTTAATTACTGGATGGGTGCCCAAGAACAATTTTATAATAAACAGCTTCCTTAAGCAAAGTCCTAATTATTTAAATGAAAATTCTAAAAATCCTAATTAAATATATAAATTATTACAAGAAACATTTTAATATATATTCTATTTTATATATATATTTGATATAAAATTGCAAATGTTTATTAACATTTTAATTATGTTAATATTTATTTTTTTATAATATATATTAAATATAAAATCCATCAATACAAAATCCATTTAGTTACAAATGTAATAGCCAGAATTCGAAAAATCCTTCCCACGCATAAAGTTTATGCCTTCGCATTTATCCTTAAGGAATAGCATTTTTGAAAATCATAACAGAAGCATGTGTCATCGAAAAATGAAGATGGATTTGAAATCTACGCATTCCTATTTCTTGTCGAGGCAGAAGACAGTCGCGGCGCGTACACACACGGTCAACGCATCGATCACTCACGGTTCCGCTAAATGGAGTTTCTGTCACGCAGACAGGATACGACGCTGTTTATGTGTTCGTTTGTTTCTGCCTTTAGGGATGGTCAGATTTGAAGACACACTACAATTTCGAATAGTCGAAGTTTTAAAATAATAATCGAAACGAGAGTAATCATATACAAGGGGTAGTAATCAGTCCTAGCAAAATGATTTGTTATTAGTCCTAGATTGATATGTTATTATGCTTAAAATATCACAAAATTCTTAATGAAGTTGCACTTCTGTTTTATATGATAATATTTGTTTCACTTAAATTAATTTATTTTGACTGAAAAATTTAAACAAATGCAAAAATATAACTAGCTGTAAGTGGAATTCTGTCTTGAGGCAATCATGGCATCGTGCCTTAAGGCAAATTGCTGGAACTTCCCATTGAATACTGAATATTTTCAAATAGATTATTATAAATATTGTATCATTGTCCAATATAAGATAATAAAATACAATCTGAAATATTTTCGATATATAAAAAACTAAAAAAAAAAAAAAAAGAAAATTGGAACAAATTTTTTTTCCAAAATAAATTATTTTGTTAAGACAAGCAGAAAGTTCTTTGAATCATTTAAATCGGACGCTTAGTTCTCTCAAAAACTGCCATTTTTTACATATTTAGCTCCGTATCTTCGAAATGGCTGGGCCTGCCTTTGCCAAGAACTAATAAACACTTCTCCCAATCA